CACATTGTGTCAGCTGCTGGAGTATCACCAGACCCAGCTAAAGTTGAGGCGGTAACCCGCTGGAAAATGCCCACTGATCTGAAATCACTGAGATCCTTTCTTGGTTTCTGTGGATTTTACCGACGATTCATAAAAGACTACTCAGCCATTGTAAGGCCATTAACAGAACTCACTAAAGGGTACCCACCAACATCTGGCCAAAACAAAAAGACCGCAGATGTCAGAAAATATCACAAAACGTCTGAGCCTTTTGGAGAGCGTTGGGATGATAACTGTACAGCAGCATTTCACAAGATCATTTATTGTCTCACACATGCCCCAGTACTTGCTTTCGCCGACCCTAACAAATCCTATGTTCTTCATGTGGATGCTAGCCTTAATGGTCTGGGAGCTGTTTTGAATCAGGAGCATCCTGGTGGACTTAGGCCAGTAGCCTATGCAAGCCGAAAGCTGAGTGCATCTGAGCAGCGTTACCCCATTCATCAGCTTGAGTTCTTGGCGCTTAAATGGGCAGTTGTGGACAAGTTCCATGATTATCTTTATGGTGCTCAGTTTGTGGTGAAAACAGACAACAATCCACTTACCTATGTGCTGTCCAGCGCCAAGTTGAGTGCAACAGGTCACCGATGGTTAGCTGCTTTAGCCACATACAACTTTAGCTTACAATACAAGCCTGGGAGTCACAACACGGATGCTGATGTATTGTCACGCTACCCCTTTGAATCAGCTATCTCAACAGAATGGAAGGAAATTTCAAAGTCAGGAGTAAAAGCTATTTGCCAGCTGGCAAGAATTAATGAAAGTGATGAGTCATCCTCCAGGCTAGTGGATCATCTATGTGTCTCTCCTCACAGTATCCCAGAAGCATTTGCTTGTCCCACTTCATTGAGTTTCAGTCCTATGGAACAGTTGAGCCATGAGGAGTTAAGTAAGGCTCAAGATGAAGATCCTGTAATTGGTATAGTGAAGCGAGAATTGGAGTCTGGACAAATACTTACTGATACTAGGAGTTCAGATGATTCAATTGCTCTGTTACGGCGGCAGGGACCCAAGTTGAAAATTGAGAATAAACTTCTGTACAGAGTCACCAACAGTTCCTGCAGAAAGGAAAATATACAGCTTGTCTTACCCTCAAGGTATTGGTCCCATGTACTGCGCTCCTTGCATGATGACTCTGGTCATTTGGGGGTAGAGAGAACAACTGAACTACTGAGAGATCGATTCTATTGGCCCCGAATGTCTAGCTATGTGGAGCAGTATGTTAAGAATTGTGGGCGATGTGTAACAAGAAAAACAGTACCTAAGAAGGCTGCCCCACTGAACCACCTAACCAGCAATGGGCCATTTGACTTAGTATGTATTGACTTTTTATCTATTGAGCCTGACTCCAGAGGTCTAAGCAATGTTCTGGTTGTAACCGACCACTTCACTCGCTACGCACAAGCATTTGTAACCAAAGATCAGAAAGCACTAACTGTGGCCAAAGTACTGTGCGACAAATTTTTTGTTCACTATGGCTTACCCACCCGAATCCACTCAGATCAGGGAAGAGACTTTGAGAGTGGTCTCATAAAAGAAATGCTTAACATGCTTGGTATAAGAAAATCCAGAACGTCACCCTATCATCCACAAGGAGATCCTCAGCCAGAAAGATTCAACCGAACACTGCTGTCCATGCTCGGTACTCTGAATCCTACGGAGAAACACAGATGGAGTCAGCACATCAACCGATTAGTGCACGCTTACAACTGTACTAAGAATGATGCAACTGGATATTCCCCGTACTATCTTCTATTTGGAAGAGAGGCTCGTCTGCCAGTGGATGTGTGTTTTGGAACTTCACCTGATGGAAAAGGAGCTGGTAGCCATCGACAATATGTAGAAAGAATGAAGTCAGAGTTACAACAAGCATATCAGTTGGCAACTGAAACTGCACAGAAAAGTCAAAAGAGAAACAAACGATTGTATGACAAGCACATAAAACATCAGACACTGGCTGTAGGAGATCGTGTGCTGACAAGAAATCTGGGTATGACTGGAAAGAACAAACTTGGTGACAAGTGGAATTCTGTTCCTTACCTGATAGTTGAAAAGCTGAATAACTTACCTGTATATCGTTTAAAACCTGAATCTGGGATGGGAAGTGTGAGGACTCTTCACAGAGACCATCTCTTACCTGTTGGGGATGATGTGAGATTGTCTGATTCAGGAAAAATTCAAAATACAGCTGCTCCAACAAAGATCAGGACAGAATCTGTGGGGAGAAAATATGGAAGAGGATTAAAGGAAATAAATCAGAACATGACAGGAAGTGGATTGAGAAATGACTCAGACAGTGAAGAGGATGACTTGTGGTATTACTACCCGAATAGGGTCCATGAAACTCAAAAGTATGTAACACAGGAGGAATCTTCAATAAATGAGGGAGCAGTTTACAATAAGGATGAATTGGAAACACCCGCTGCAGAGATGGATGACACATCAGTCACTGACCAGGGCCACGAAGCAGTATTGGAGCAGACTCCTGAGGAGCTTGAAGATCCTGCTCTAGAAGGGGGAGATCCTGGAACAGCCAATACTACTAGAGAGGTAGTAGAGCATGTTCATGTGCGACCTAAGAGAAACACAAGACCTATAGACCGATTGAGCTATGATTGTCTGGGGAGACCCACTAACAAGTCTTTAACCTTAGTTCACAGAGGAATGGTTGTAAAAGTACAAGGTGGGGATAGTTCACCAAAGTTTTGTAATACAGTGTGGTGCCACCCTATGGCACGGTGTACTCATTGTGTTCAAGTAAGCAATTGTGCTGAGCCTGAGATCACTATTAAAGTTTAATGAGGTAATCTCATGAGGACATGAGATGTTTAGAAGGGGGAGCATGTAACCCAGTAGAATAAAGTTCTACAAGTTTTTAAGTTTTAAAGTAATCTTAAGGTTATTTATTTATTTATTTATTCATATTGGTTCTAGAACAGAATTAAATCTAAAATGTGTTTTGCATTCATTTGTGAATATACATCCTAATGTTGATGTGTAATATATGAGCGTCTATCTCTGAGAATATGATAAGATAGCAAGTTTGATCAACCTTCACTGAAATACATGGGGTTAACAAGTTTGGTAGGTGTTCCTACATGATTGGTTTATATGCGTGTAGTCCCGCCCTCTGGTGTGGAGTGTGAAATGTGATTGGCTGTTGGGAAGAGAGAGCGGAGAGAGGAGACACAGCCGGCAGTTTTGGAAACTGAAGGGGAGACTCGCGTCGCGGCTGTTTTGATTGCGTAACATTCACGGAGTATAAAAACAAGTGAATATATATTGCGTGTGAACAACACGTTTTTGATTACTTTGAGTTTGTTTTGTGTTTGTTTTAAGTTCGCGGTGTGTTTTCATCATATAAGTTTCCAGTATCAGTTATTAGTCAGTTCAGAGTGAGTGAGCATTTTTTAAATGCCTAGATTGTCAACGGACAGTTACGGAGGACTAAAGCTGAACTGAGGGAGTGACGGTTAAACCGAAAATAAGGAGGAGAAAAAAGAGAGACTGTTAGATTTGCATGAAACAACGCTGAAAGAGTCAAAGAGGAGCAAATAGCACCACAAAAAGCCTGAATACTACATGAGACTTGTCTCTCATCAGCTGGGGAGAAAAAGTGAAAGTGAGGATTTGAAAGACCCGCGGCAGAAGTTCGCCGATCGATCGCGGCTCGTTGGCCCGTTGTTCACAAGTGTTGTCATCTGGATCGCTGTCATTTGGATTGCTGTCATCTGGATCGCTGTCAACTGGATCGCTGTCATCTGGATCGCTGTCAACTGGATCGCTGTCATCTGGATCGCTGGCATCTGGATCGCTGTCAACTGGATCACTGTCATCTGGATCGCTGGCATCTGGTTTGCTGTCATCTTGATCAAGGTCATCTTCATCTGAGGTATCTTGTTTAATTTTATTTGTGCTCAGGAGAGTGAAGAGGCCATTTTCATTTTCCCGGCCACAACGTACACTAGCAGCGATACAGGCCTGCAACGGGGGTGTATGAATGTGTGAGTGTGTGGGCCCACAGAGTATTGAGTTGTTTATGGAGATGCAGTGAGCATAAAATACTGCTGCGTGTTTTACAGTATAGATTTATACTAATAGTTTATATAGGTTTAATTCAGTGTGTAATTTAGTGACACAATTGTAGCCACTTTCAAAGAGAAACATATTCAGTTACTCTTAGTCACTTGTTGATTTATAAGTTTAATTGTTAGAGTGTAGAAAGGTGGTATTTTCTATATTGGTTTAATTAATATTCTTCATTGTACTGTAAATTGCTGGGTTTGACTTTGGGTCATTTTACTGTCTTTTAGCTGTGCATAAATTCTATATTTTGTATTTTGTTTTACATCTGGGGTTTTTCCCAATATTTACATTTCTATTCTAATTAAATTATTTATATTTTCTGATTTATCTAAGAGTTTTATTATTCACAGAGTTTATTTCTGGTAATTTATTCAAACACAGCAAATATTTATATTCTCATCTGCCTTATTTACATTACGTCATTGAAATATTCAGAGGGGCCTACTTCAACATATCTGTAGGCGTTTAGTGTATTGAACCTGGAGCGCTATCTTAAACTTAATACACCTAGGTGGCGCTACATATATATATATATATATATATATATATATATAAACTACAAAACAAAAGCTGTGCTATTTGAGTTGACTCAACTTAAGTCAAGTCAAGCGCATCTTTGGTTAAAAGCTGATTCAACTGTGCAGCAAGTTGCCTTACAATTGTAAGTATGATTCTTTCTGACCAATCACTGATGGAACGCAGTCGAAAAACACCCTATGTAACCTTATGTTTTACTTTGCAACTACCAATAGGCTAATTTACAATATTTCTAAATAAAAATTTGACCTAATCATCATTTTAATGTTTTTTCCCCTCTCTAGCAACTCTTTTTGTTAATGTAGCTTATTTTCTGGAACATCGAGTATTAAACAGACCTGTATTTGTGCTTGTGAGGGCTCCGTCTGCGGTCTTTGCTGTTGTGATAGTAGGGACATGCGTAGCCCTGACGGCACAGGCGAGGAGGTTTTTTGCAAAGCTCAGTCTTATAGTGAGAGAGCACAAAACTGTTATCTGCAATAAACAAATGAAAAGCATGACACACTAATACAAAAGCGTTTTCAAGTTGTGTGTGTATGTGTGTGAAGAGGCTGATTTCACCTTGCCAGCGTGGATCTTCACTCAGGATCTTTTCTATGAGTGCAGTGCTGGCCACAACTCCAGACTGGCCTTCTCCAGACGAGCCCTCGGTCAACCCAGTAGTGGCCTGGGCTTCTAATACCTGGACCTCTCTGATCAGAACAAAAATAAATACATATATCACATGGTAGATGGTAAGGTTTAAAATAATACTTTTGTACAGCAACAATGCTTTAAATCAATAAAAAGTGACTTAGCAAAGAGATCAATTAAATTTGAACGCTGTTCTGTTAAAACTGCCGTTTATAAAAGATAACTGAAAATAATATTAAGTAAAAATTTTTTAATGATAATTATTTGAAATATTTATGAGGTTGCAAATCAGAAGGATCACATGAAAAAAACACTAAACATATTTTATTATAGTTTAAATTTACACAAAGATACAAACAAGCAGTTCAGACATAATAAACAAAACAACAATAGGAACATAATTTAAAAGAGAGCATTGACCCTATAAATAATTCCGCCTAGTAAAAAGATGCTGCCACAGTTGACCATACTAAACAGGACTAAAAACAAGACAGTTGGTCCCCTCAGGAAGGGACTTATGCTTTAAACAATCTAAAAAATAAATCTCTTTAATTTACACTTGAATACTTTCAGTGCTGAAGCCATTTTTAATTCTAGCTGCAGCGCGTTCTAAAGGCGAGGACCGGCTACAGAGAATGCACGTTTGCCCCTGCTTTTTTTGGGACTTTTAATTGAAACTGATCAGCGGAGCACAAGTGTCTAGATGGAGTGTAGGCCACAATCAGTTGAGATAAATAATGGGGGCCCAGGCCATGTAAGGCTTTGTACACAAAAAAAAGGATTTTAAATTTGATTCTTTGTCTCACGGGTAACCAATATGGCCAAAATGGGAGCAACATGTACATATTTCAGGCTTTTTGTTAAAATCTAGCTGCAGCGTTTTGCAGGAGATCGATCTGAGACTTAGGCAGCCCAAAATACAGAGTTGCAATAGTTTAACAGGGAGGTTATAAGCACTTGTATAGCAATTTCTAGAGAATGCAAATTGAGGGAGGACTTCCTTGTAATAAGAAGTTAGTAAAAGCTATTAAAATATGTTTATTAAATATTAAGTTCTAGGACCAATTTCCTTCTTATATTTTGGCCTAAATAAACACAATATTGCTGACAATATGCTTTTATTGATCCAAAATTGATGCATTTTTTTAAAAAAAAAAAGGACATGACTAGCATACTAGACTAGTATGACTTAGCATGTTACTAGCATGATTTTAGCATGAATTAGCATGTTACTAGCATGATTCTAGCATTAATTAGCATGTTACAAGCATGATTCTAGCATGAATTAGCATGAATTAACATGTTACAAGCATGATTCTAGCATGAATTAGCATGAATTAACATGTTACAAGCATGATTCTAGCATGAATTAACATGTTACTAGCATGATTCAGCATGAATTAGCATGTTACTAGCATGACTCTAGCATGAATTAGCATGTTATTAGCATGATTCTAGCATGAATTAACTTGTTTCTAGCATGATTCCAGCATGAACTGGCATGTTACTAGCATGATTCTAGCATAAATTAACATGTTTCTAGCACTGAATCTAGCATGAATTAGCATGCTACTAGCATGATTCAAGTTTGAATTGGCATGTTACTAGCATAATTCTAGCATGAATTAGCATGTTACTAGCATGACTCTAGCATGACTCTAGCATGAACTGGCATATTACTAGCATGATTCTAGCATGAATTAAAATGTTTCTAGCATGAATCTAGCATGAATTAGCATGCTACTAGCATGATTCTAGTATGAATTAGCATGTTACTAGCATGATTCAGCATGAATTAGCATGTTACTAGCATGACTCTAGCATGAATTAGCATGTTATTAGCATGATTCTAGCATGAATTAACTTGTTTCTAGCCCTGAATCTAGCATGAATTAGCATGCTACTAGCATGATTCTAGATTGAATTAGCATGTTACTAGCACGATTCTAGCATGAATTAGCATGTTACTAGCATGTTACTAGAATGATTCTAGCATGAATTTGCATGTTACTAACATGATTCTAGCATGAATTAAAATGTTTCTAGCATGAATCTAGCATGAATTAGCATGTTACTAGCAAGGTTCTAGCATGACTTAGTATGTTACTAGCATGATTCTAGCATGAATTGGCATGAACTTAACATGATTCTAGAATGAATTAACATGTTTCTAGCACTGAATCTAGCATGAATGAGCATGTTATTAGCATGATTTGGTGCAAAATGTTAATAAGAAGTTTGAAATACAGATGAAATACTGCTCTGAAGACCAGCTACACACCTGATGTCATATACAGGGCTTCTGAGGTCATGTGACCCATGAGCAAAGGCACAGTGAGGGCCGTTTTTACTGCAGTGCCCCTTTCCATCAGTCTCGTGGATACAGGAGCCGGTCTTATAGTAGCGCAGGTGATACCGCCTCTCTGTGTCTCCAGCTGTTCTGTGTAGAAATGGACACCTGCCAATAGACACATATTTTGAAGGGGTTATAAACTGAGGAATCAAAATTAGCTTGCTCTTTTGACATATAAGAGGTTTCTGTACAATTAAAAACATCCTATAGGTTTCAAAACATTCATTTTGTCCACTATTGGCTGTTCAGCTCCACCCACTGATTCATGAATTCAGTAGGTAGAGAGAGGCGAATGAATGCAGGTCTATGTAGAAACTAAATGATGAAATGAAGATAACATAACCCACAAAACTGCAGTATCTGTACAGCGTCCATTTGATCCCAACATTAAAAAAGTAGTAGATAAACTTAATTTTTTAAATAAAGTTTCCGAACCACATCAGTATAGGGATGCAACGATTAACCGGTTTCACTATTAACCGCAATTTAATTCGTCACGGTTAATTAATCGTAAAGGCTTCTCAACACCGTGTTTTTGAACGGAACAAAACTGCAGCAACTAAACATAGTTATGCCAACTTTGCGCTAGTTTGTACACCGAGACTAATAACCAGGCACACTGGACTGATTATGACTGAGGCCCCGTTTACACTAGTGCGTTTTAGTTTTAAAACGGCGTTGTAGAATGAAAACGATCCGCGTCCACACTCGCGTTTTACCCAGCGTTTCTGAACAGCTCTCCGTCCACACCAAAACGCTGAAAACGCACATCACGTGACTACACACACACTCTCGGGCAAGCGATCCAGTATTTCTACCCAGATGAGAGCTCTGCTTGTCGGACTGCTCATCACGCATCTCCCGCTGGATCTAATCTCACTATATTTGCTAAACGTGATATTTCATTCATGTTGTTGTCTTTATCTAACGACATAGGCTAATTCCCTGACTTTGGTCATTGGAATCTATTAAGTTACTTGTTCACGGGTAACATGTTTTGGTTAAGCGCAAAGATAAGTTAATGATTAATCCAGGTACATTGACTGATCGCTTGCCTTTATTTCCTACAATGTATAAACTTATTGTATGTTATACTTTTATAATTATCGATTATTAAAACTGATATTCAGCAAAAGAGAGGGTGTGTTTCGTATTTTCACTGAAATTGAAAGGCAACAGTTGTTTATCGGCTCCGTTTTGTTATAAATATCCACACAGTGAAGATGACGCTCATATATGCAGCACGACGCCTCAACATGTCTGCTGTCTGTTAAGTTGCTAATATTAAAAAGAAAATAGGCAGTTCCTTAAATCATGTATACATTTTATTGTTGAGAAAGTGAAACGTAGCCAAGGTGATGTGAATGAAGTTCTAAAGTACACTGTTCCCTTTGAAGATTTACCAGTGTCCTCGGTATGTTTTCCATATCAAACTGAGAAGGGGGAGACTGCAGCCTTGATCAAACTTGCGAAGTCTTAACTTACACGGAGAAGATGCGAGACTGAACTGTGTGTGGGCTACTTAATATTGAGGAAAAGCCTCAATCAGAGAGGCGAACATTTGCAGCCCCGCCTCCGTTTTCAGATGTCTCCGTCTTTCCCCATCCACACTGAAGGCTGATTTATACTTCTGCGTCAAACGTCGGCGTATGCTACGGCGCTGATGCATAGCCCTTCGCCGTGGCCATCGCCGTCACTGACGTGCACCTCTCAAAAAATGTAACTACACGTCGCAACGACGCGTAGCGTAAGCTCTGTGATTGGTCGGCTTGGTAGCGCTGACGAGTCTGGGCGGGACCGAGAGCCGCGCGAATGGCGCGAGCGATTGTTTACAAGAGTGGAGTCCCGTGAAGGAGCTCCGGATGGAAAGTTTTGTTTTGTGTTTACCTCATAGTTAAAGTTGTTGCACGTCCGCCAGTTCCTGCCTCAAAATGAGCGAGTTTAAGCCACTTGTACATCCCGGAAGTTGCAGGAAAAGCAAAAAAGCAGAGAGGAAACTCGACACAGAGGAACAGTAACACCTCACTGCCAACTAGCGTTTCGAAAGTGTTAATGCAGACCGACAGAGACAGCGCGCAGAAGTATATATGCACAGCCACGCGCGTTGCCTGCGCCGTGAGTTACGCCGGTCACTTGACGCAGAAGTATAAATCAGGCTTGAGACGGAGCAGCAGCGTTTCAGAATGAAAACGGCCTTTCCAGCGTTTTCGAAACGCTCCGTTTTCGGCGCTCGAGAACTCCGGCGTAGTGTGGACGGATGGCGTAACCGTAGCAAAACTTATGCGTTTTCAAACTAAAACGCACTAGTGTAAACGGGGCCTGAGGCTGCCTAAGGCAAGCTCGTTCAAGTTTGTTATTACGAATGGAGGGACACGCACGGAACGCAACACGTTCACGCTTTTCAGGCGCACCTAGTTGAGATGACAGTAGGTTTTTGTGACCGCGGGAACTGCCTACGGCTGAAGATTTAGGAAGAAGCAATGGAAAGTACACAGGTTTGCAAACCCACTTAAACCCACTTACAAATAATGGCACCGATGAGAGCAATCATGTGGCGAGTGTTGATCTGCCAGCCAAGATGAATCAAGTGTTTTCGGTGAGAGTGCTGAAAGACTGAGCGTGAGCAGCGCATGGTTTTTTGGGGTCTATGTTAACAGATTAGAGCTTTCATACTGTACGCAAAAGCAGCGTGTCAGAACGAGGCGTAAGCATCACTAAAGCAGCAGTGCCGTGATAGTTTTGGCACTGGGTCTATTTTTGCCATGCTGCACATGCTCATTTAAGGTGACAATGCATTAATAATGACCAAGAACACATTGAATGAAAGTAAAAAGTAGCACTCCAAGCGATTGCCTAAACAAGATTACTACACCATAGGCTAGACTACGCTACAATAAAACTACCAATTTCATTTAATGCTGCAAACAAGTTAAACCAGTGTAATATATTACTATACCTCCCTCGTATTACCTCCCTCATTTGTAATTTTAATACTAATGTCCTTGACCAGCAAATCAGAGTAGTCCGCTGACCAGCGGTTTTGGTTTGGTTTTCAGAGCAGCTGCAAACTCCAGTAATAAATAGCACTTATTAGTGCAACGTGCGGGGTTGGACAGTTCCACTTTTGTGCGGAGGGGGACTTTAATTTTGATTGACAAACTTACAGTAGCTAAAGTGTTCTGTTAATCATCAACATTAAATTACATTCATATTCCGCCTTACACCTGTTACATGTTTTCAATGCATTTTTGTTTCTTTGCTGCCATCTCCGTGTTCTCTGGCTTCTATTTTTTAAATTTATTTATTATCTGTTTTTTGTTCTGTCTCTGTTATTCTGTTGCATTGTAGAAACTCTGTCACGAAAGCAAATTCCTCGTATGTGTGAACATACCTGGCAATAAAGCTCTATCTGATTCTGATTCATAGTAGGATAAACAATCACTGTGGAAGTAAATGATTACCATTATCTTTAAAATATCTTCTTTTAGGTTCAGCAGAAAACAAAAACTCATAAAGGGTGAGAAAATAGTACATATAATTTTCTTTTTTTGGTGTGAACTATCCCTTTAAATCTGTAACCAGAAACTGACACATGTAGTGCAGTCTGAACGTGTCAAGTGTGTGTGCTGGTTCTTACTCATCCCCATCAGGACATGTCCCCGTGCCCTCATCGTATTTAACGCAGTACACGTCAGGGCTGTAATTAAAGGTTCCATCTCGTCTGCGAATCGGCCTCCGTCGTCTCTGGTTCAGGAAGTGCCAGTGAAAGCAGGTGAAAGGCCTGTGCTGAGTACACTTGTGCTGAACAAAAAGAGGACACTGTTCTGTCCGAAACTCCTTCAGATACCTAAGATTAGAGATTAAGATTAGGAGTTCGTCACACACTATAATAGTTAAACTAACAAAACACAAAAATAGCATGGACGTGGCTACTAAACATTTGAAGGATGAAAATAGAGCTGGACAATATATCATTTCAGTATTGATAATGCAATGTGTGCATTCACTGTAATCGCATCGCAGGATCTTTAGCAAAGTAGTTGTGAAGTCACAGCAAATATTAACCATAAAGTTAGTAAAGCGTTTATCATTTGTGTGTGGTTTTAAGGCCTGTGCAACTCTATCAAGCCACTTTAAAGTATTCACACACAAGAAATTATGTTTGTAACTTTAGAAAAGATGTGTTTGATTTATGTATAGACCATTTTGAGGGATGTAAGAAATAACAATGGTCCTGGTTTATTTCCTGTTTTAGATCTTTCATTTTCTAAGCTTCTGAGAATCCAGAACGTTCCATATGTTGATACTTCTTATAATGACAGCTGTGTTAACATTAGTTGTGACTGAATCGCCTCTTGACAGTCCTAAAAAAGTTTTAAGACATGCAGGAACTGTTCATGAACCAATGATATATCGCTATATTGAAATGGTCTATTTATGATGAAGACTGCACAGTGTTGTTTTACATTTAACTATTTAATTTGTGTATCTGAATTTGCTAGACTCCCACAAAACACTGCATTTCATTTGCTCTACTGTATTTATCAGAGCTTCTGTTTGGCTTATTTTATTCTATGCTGAAGCACTGTCCTACAAAATCATCCCAATCAATCTAAAATTGTGATTTCTTTCCAGAAAGAGCTATTTATTTCATCTGGTGAAAATGATACTTAATATTGCAATATATAATGTAGAAAAACTAAATATCGCAGTTTTCGCCAATATTTTGTCGCCCTAGTTGAAAACTTAAAATCTGCAAAGCCGGACAGATGTAAAAATAAACACTATTTCAAAGAGTGTAATATCTGTCGTTTTTATGACCTGACTTTCAGAAGAAAAAAATATATATTTAATATTATTATTAATATTATTATTTCCTTTATTTAGCCAGGAGATCACATTGACACAGCACTGTCTTGTCTTCTAGTGAGACCAGGTCAAGATGGCAGGAAACACATAAACTTTCACATAAAAATCACAAAAACAATACCACTAGATTACAAAATCACCATTCATAAAAAGATCAGATCATAAAAAAAAACAATTACAAATATCCTTTAAGATGTTGTACAAAAGATATTTAAAAGTACTCAGAGTCGGAAGTGTGTCAAGATTGAGCTGATTTTGCAGGTCGTTCCAAGGCACTGGGTGCATAAAAGGAAAAAGCACGTTTGCCAAGTTCTGAAAATACCCTTGGGACTGTTAAATACAGGAAAATACAGGACTGTTCCAAATACAGGAACCAGATCTAGTGTGTTGGTTATTTATGTGAAATGTTAATGGGTAAATTAGTAATTTTACCATTTTGATATAGAACCCTGGTGCTGCAGAAACAAAAAGTCAAAATGTTTGAAAATATAGTATATACTATGTTCAAGCTTATGCTCAACACATTAATATTATAATAAAACTTGCAATGTCTGACATAATGATGCTCAAACATCTTCAATTATCTGGCATGAATTATTAATCTTTAAAGTAGAGCTGTATGATATTGGAAAAAATTTAAGATTGCAATATTTCATTCATATGAATACAGTTTGACTTTTATGGTTTTCTGGGGAGCCTAACAGTATTCAAGCACAGTAATTGAACAGTCACAATGCAAAAAATGCTTTTCTTACTTTGTTTTGTCTCGTTTCTAGTAAAAATATTTTTTAAAAAATCCTTAAATCAAGCTAAAATATTGGTTTGTTTTCAACTTGAGAAGTAATTAGTCAAAATTAAGAGTTTTTCAGTAAAACAGGTAAAATGATCTGCCAGTGGGGTAAGTTTTTGCTTTGAAATGTAGACATTTGGACTAAAACAATGACAAAAGAAACACTTTTTTTTTTTTTTTGCATTAATTGTAAATATATTCCATATGAATACAGTAATAAATAAAATTCTGGGGCTCCTATTTAACAATCAGACTCAACATTGCATATCTTGTGATGCAGTGGTGTAAAACAACAAATTACAAATACTCAAACTACTGCAATCGAGTAGTATTTCTCAGAAATTGTAATTTACAAAGAAGTTTTAAAAATATGTACTTTTACTTTCACTTGAGAATAGTTTTAGTGCAATATCGGTACTTTTACTCCACTACTTTCCTTCAACCTGCAGTCACTCCTTATTTTTTCTTGTCTAAGGGTTTAGAAAAATCCTGTCATTCCTGTCCAATCAAATCAAACATAGAAGGTAAATTACATCAAAATGAATAACCCCAAGACATGGGTGATTTAAAATTGCAGCAAACTGTTTGGAAGCATTAAAACTGTCCAACAAGATGTCCTAAATCTTTACACGCAATGACCCAGAGACTGTTTAGATGCATGTTACTGATGAGAAGATGACTGAAGTTTACTGTATGGTGACCAAAATGGCATCATGACCTCAGATTGAAGTTGTACCAGAACGTCATTGGGACGTTACATTTTGTTTAGAAATGAAAATTGGGTTGGCATCAGAACCCAACATCAGGCTGACGTCAATGTCCAACGTCCAACCTATAATTAACCAAATATCAACGTCTAATGATGTTACAGCTTGACGTTGTGTGGACGTTACCATTATGACGTCTATCGGATATTGGAGTTTGTTGTCATACCTGATGAATAAGTGTCAGTATTTGATGTCTATATGCCGTAAGTTTAAGATGTTGGCTCGACGTTGGATTTCAGTCAGTTTCTAACACAACCTAATATAAAAAAAATACCAACATCATTTGACGTCATTATTGGACATCAAAAAAATGTTGTCCTTAGAAGCTGGCTAAACATTGAATTTTGGTCACCTGATATCACAACCTAAATCTAACCTAATATTAACGTCCTTTGACAGTGTGTGCCTGCTGGGCAATAATTAGATTCACTACAGAATGTTACGTTTACACTCATCCACAAATTACATGTTAATGCATGAGCTTTTTACACCATAATACTTTCCCGAGTACTTTTGAAAGGTCTACTTTTTACTCATACTTTGAGTAATATTTACAACAGATACTTTTACTCTACTTGCACTACATTTTTAGGCAAGTACTGGTACTTTTACTTTTTCAGTACTCTTTCCACCACTGTTGCGATGTGACTATTGCGAGTGTGCACACTGCAATATTGATGCTGAAACCATATTTTGTGCAGCCCCACTTTAAAGGCCTTGTGAAAGTGATGGAAATATGCATAGTGGATTCTAAAGTACTATTTCTAATCATACAATAATGAGGAATGACAGCAAACTTATAAAGATGCTTTTCATGCATTATTTACATCATTACACAGATTTGCTTATTTGATAAGAAAAATCTAAATGTGTTTTACTCTTATGATACATCTAAATTTCTCTTTAAAAACCTTATATGCAGGTTTAAATCCAAAAATAAACACATTTGGAAGATTTTTAGGTAATGACTGGAAAGCCTTGAAATGGCATTATAAAGTACTAGAAATGTGTATAGTGGTTTTGAATATCAGTCTTTAAATATTTTATATAACCAGCTAAATCTGGCTTGCTTGCCATTTCAGAGTTAAACATTTTACTTATTTGTAAGCGTATTGAAAAAAAACCTGACCAAATGTAAAGTAATTCATCAAAAGCTGTGTGTGGACAGTTATGTGGCGCTCCCTCAGAGGTTTGTGATGAAAAATAATAGACTTGCACTTTAAAAACTATTTCACAAAGGATAACACATCACATTAATTAACCATTCATAGCTTGCCTTCATTACTGTTTACAAATCACCAGGAAGCTGAAGTCCATCCTTCAAAACATCACCTCACAGCAATAAATGCACAGACCATCACACCACTAGGCCTGCATTAAATTAATCTCTCAACCCAGATCACCAGAGCCACCAAACCCCATCAGAGGCGTGTAAAATGTGCTGATGCATGAAAGATGTGTGATTTGCATGAGCGATCAGGTGGGTGTAAGTTAAAGGTGTTTGGTTACGTACGTGTAGTGCTGGGGCTTCTCGGGCTGTGCGTGCAGCACGTTAGCGGGGGAAGTCGTGCCACCTGCCGAGGGAGACGAGCAAGAGGAGGACGATGAAGGTCCCAGGCTGGCCGCAGCACCCGAAGAACCGGGCAGAGATGGTGCTTTCGACATGATTTATCAAACTATGGCCATCAAACTATTTAATATTGGGAGAGCTGCGAAGTCCGCATTCTTTTTCGATGTGCGCATGCGCTAGATCTCTCGAGGAGGAAATTCCGGGCCATTGTGGTGACGTCGAGTTTGGGAGCGAATCGACTCTTTTGAACAGTTCAGTTCAGTTCAATATATGCACAAAGGACTGCTGAGCCGGTTTAAATGATTCTTTGAAAAGAATCAGATGATTCCATTAGTTCAATACATCGGACCTCTTTACGTCATAGGGGAGTGAAGTCAGACATAAGGAATAGATGTAATATCCAAATTAAGAGCGAGATATAATTCAAATTTAAAGTCGTAGATAAACTGCATCAATCATCGTAATTTATTTCTTTACGAAAAGTATTACATAATAATATAATATTAATATAATATAATGCATACTTGTTTGATTAGAAATGTATAAATAATTATGTTTTTAAAAATGTTAAGTATATCTTTAAAAATTCATTTGTACTTAAAAAAGCATAATAAAAAAGGCAAACAGTTAATTAACAGTTGATTTAAATTCGTGTTTTAGTCATTTTTTTAAATTTACAATAAAGTACTAAGCATAAAATCAAAAAGATCAAATTTACAAAAGAATAGACGATATTAAAGGCATCAGATTTTGTAACAAAACCACAATTCTGTATTTCAATATTGCACATATACAGAATATTACAGTAAGATATTACAAACTATCATACATACAGATACAAAACAATAAACTATAGATATATTTATATATTATATTGTTATATGTAACAATACATTAGATAGTAAACACACAGTGCACATTTGAAGATGTCCAGTTCACTCAAGGTTTTGAGATTTTCAGACAAACCATTCTGTATGCTTAAACCCAGCAGCTGTAGGCACAAAAATGTACAAATGTAAATCGAATTAAATTAATTCCACATAATCCTTTTATTGGATGAACTCACTCACCTATACGGTTAACAATCTCTTCACACTCACTACAGTTAGCGGCCTGTAGGACCACACAACAGAAGCCCGCCGGTTTGTCTGCTTGTGGTGCATCTCTGAAACCAATAAAACATTACTGAATAAAGTCCAAGTTTGAAAACACAAAAGCCTGGAAGGAAATGTCACTGATAAGCAAATGAAATGCAGATAACCCAGTCTCATAATAACCTGCCTGACATTTACTCAAACTCCAACACCAGATCAAATACAGAACGCCTGTAATAATCAGAGTTAAAATAGAAGCATTTGATATTTCATGACGGAAAGCTTTGTGTAAGCATGTATCTCATTTTAAAGGCTTGGTTTGTATGAATTTCAATGCATTGTTTGATTTTTTTTTTTACTGCCAACGTGTGAAAGACTAATAAAAAAAATGCTCTCTGGTGGATTGATTTAAACTTTAGTCTTACATCGGAAGATGTATAAAGTCGATAGTCTTATATTTCCACATATATTTATATTATAACAGTGTTGGAAGTAACGCATTACCAGTGGTGTAAAGGAGTACACAAAAATCATACTTAAGTAAAAGTACCATTACTTGCCTAAAAATGTAGTGCAAGTAGAGTAAAAGTATCTGTTGTAAATATTACTCAAAGTAGGAGTAAAAAGTAGACCTTTAAAAAGTATTTAAGAGTAGTGAGTAGTAAGTATTTCGCAGTAAAAAGCTGATGCATGTATAAGTAATTTGTACATGTGTGTGTAAACGTAACATTCTGTAGTGAATCTAATTATTGCCCAGCAGGCACACAATGTCATTAGACGATAATATTAGGTTAGATTTAGGTTGTGATGTCAGGTGACCAAAATTCAATGTCTAACCAGCATCTAAGGACAAGGTTGTTTTGATGCACAATAAAATGATGTTGATTTTAGGTTATTAGAAAGTGACCAAAATCCAACGTCGAGCCAACATCTTAAACCAACATCACATTGAAGTCAGATACTGACATTTATTCATGAGTTATGGCAACCAAAATCCAACGTCTTATAAACATTGTAGCGGTAACTTCCACACAACGCCAAGCTGTAAAATCATCAGACATTGATTTTTGGTTGGTTTTAGGTTGGATGTTGGACATTGACATCGGCCAGACGTTGAGTTCTGACATAAACCCGATTTTCATTTCCAAATAAAAAAGCAACATCCCCACGACATTAGGGTACAACGTCTTGTGCCTGCTTGGTGTTTAAGGCCATTTCGGTCATCATACAGTAAACGTCATACAGTAAACGTCATCTTCTCATTGGTGACATGCATCTAAACAGTCTCTGAGTCAATGCGTGTAAAGATTTTGGACATCTTCTTGGACAGGTTAAAGGAAAGCAGTGGAGTAAAAGTACCGATACAGCACTAAAAATGTACTCAAGGGAAAGTAAAAGTACACGTTTATAAAACTCAGTAAATTACAATTCCTAAGAAAAACAACTAAATTACAGTAGTTTGAGTAATTATAATTAGTTACTTCACACCACTGCAAATAGATATCTATACAAAATACTTCCAGCATGAAATAAACAAATATAAAAAGCATTTTGTGATGTTCAATCCAAATAAATTCAGAATTCAAAGAAAAAAAGTCAGAATTGCAAAATGTAATCTCTAAAATATAAAGTGTAAACTGTGAGTTAAAAGGTCACAGTTAACTTTTTACATTAATTTTAATCCTGTTGCAGAAACATGCTTCTGTACACCTGCTACTTAATGCTTCTCAAAATACTTACAATACACAAAAAGCAAAAATGGTTAAATCCGGTTGGCTTCCGAATCTCCCAACGCATGATATCTCAGGGAAGTGGTGTTGAAACAGCTCCTGTTAAAGAGAACAAAAAGTTTCTTAAAGCAATCTCTGTTCACACATTACTTCAGAGTAATACAAACCTGCTTAGTAGACTTATCTATGCAGGTAAGATGAGTCTCCTTTACATCCAGCAGAACTTCCTTTACAACAAAATCAGAAGCATGAAAAATTAAACATCTTCATCTCTCTACATAAAACTCACTTGCTCAATTGCAGATATACCTTTCTTGTCTGTTTACTCTCCAGGACCACAGGAATGGCATGCTGCAGAACCTCCTTACCTCCATACTTAAAATGAAACAAAAAGTAACATGCATAGTCAATACGTAGACTTAAAAATACACATGCATGGATTACAGATAAGCAAGAGCACCATAAAGAAAGAGAGAGGGAGAGATGTTTACACAGCTACTGTACCATTCCTATGTTTGCTTTTCCTAAGAGGTCCACGGCATACAGGATCCTGTTAATGAAAGCCGATCAAACAGTGACAGGCCGGGCTGTTTATGGCATTTGAGACTAATCCATTGTAAACATCTTTATTGAGAGTACCTGCCGTCTTTTACACACTGCGTCTGGCTTTTCTTCTGAGCTGCTGTGGTTTTGTCCTGCTGAGAGGCTGGTTTGGGGCCAAACTGAAGCGAGGGTTTTTCTTGTTCGAGCTGCCGTAAGTGTTTGACCAGCGGCTGATAGATGGAGCCATCTTCTCCTCTCCAGCGTATGAAGTGAATGGAGAGCGGCTGACCCTTGAGTTTAGACAGAACCACACCTGCCTTTGGAGGGGAGAAGTGTGTGGCCTGTTAGATTTTTGGTTATGTATATTTCTATACATATTTCACATTTCGTTTTTGTCAGAAGATTCTTTTATCTTGTCTTTCATATTGTGATGTACATCTGAGAGAAACAAATTACTGAAAAAAAGGAACAATAAAATGAGGGGGCTGAGTTCTGCAAAGTCATGGTGCAGTGTAAAAATAATGAATATTGTGTATGACTCCCATGAGCTTGGAGGACTGCATCCATACATCTCTGCAATGACTCCAATAACTTAATAATAAAGTCATCTGGAATGGCAAAGAAAGCGTTCTTGCAGGACTCCCAGAGTTCATCAAGATTATTTGAATTCATCTTCAATGCCTCCTTCATTTTACTCCAGACATGCTCGATAAATTTCATATCTGGTGAATGGGCTGGCCAATCCTGAAGCACTTTGTCCTTCTTTCAGGAACTGTGATGTGGAGGCTGTAGTATGAGAAGGAGCGCTATCCTGCTGAAGAATTTGCTCTCTGCTGTGGTTTGTGATGTAATGGGCAGCACAAATGTCTTGATACCTCAGGCTGTTGATGTTGCCATCCACTCAGCAGATCTCTCGCATGCCCCCATAGTGAATGTAACACCCAACCATGATTTTTCCTTCACCAAACTTGACTGATTGCTCTGAGAATCTTGAGTCCATGCGAGTTCCAATAGGTCTTCTGCAGTATTTGTGATTATTAGGATGCAGTTCAACATGATTTATCAGTAAAATCTACCTTCTGCCACTTTTCCAAATGATCAACTAGAAGTCAAGCGATTATTTGTTGCTCTTACAACTGGGATCGAAGACAATACTTCTTTCAGGTAGTGTATAACCATGCCTAATATCAGATGGAAAGAAAGTGATTAATTTTTTTAGAATATTGATGCCTGTGAGGCAGTAAGTCCAGAGACTGTTTTGTACACCATGACTTATTTTTTTTTTAAATCACTTTAATGTGTTATATGACTATAAAAATGGTCATAAACGAATATTTTCTTAATTCAACTGAGCATTGGCTTGAACCCGGAAGCAGTACTCCATATGTCATGACTTAACAAGTGGATTGGACAGCATTAAACTTGTTGAGTCGTTGCAAAATCTGTGTTTAAATTTTGCCCTCATGTCTGCTTCACAAACTATGTTTATTGCTATAGAATGGCAGCATTTTGCTATAAAAAATCATTAAGTGGTGTTAAATGTGACCACTGTAAGAAATAAGTGAGACTTATGCAGAGTAGAGTGTTTACAATACATAGCATGGAAAACCTTTCATGCAATATACACAACAGCATTTTCATTTGTCCTTTTCGCCAACTTTTAATGCAATAAAGCATGCGATTGAGAGCGTGCACAGCACACCCATGCGCAAAAGTCCAGGAATAAAAGTGTTATTTTTAAAAAAACGCATTGGGCATATTAAAAACTGCTATTTAAAACTGGTTAACCAATGAGAATGGCACTTTTGTTCATAAAC